GTCATGTCTAGTTTGAAATACAAAATCCGACGTCCTCAATGGAAGGTCCAATACACACAACAAAACAAACAACGAATTTATATCCAAGTATTAAGCCATTATGAGTAAACTCAATGAAAAGTCGATTAACTAAAGTGACTATCGTCAAACTTGCAAAAACAAATTTTCAAGTACGATGTTAATTTTTGAGACTTTAGTGGTAGGTCGAGTAATTAAGGTTACCCTTACTCAAAATGTTACTGCATCGAATTAATTTTGAGACCTCAATGGAAGGTCGATTAACTAAGTTTGATTGAAGTTTTAAAGTGTTGAATCATCTTTCGTGTAATATATATGTAAAATTGACCTTACCTTTTTTTCTAATTTAGTGAAGGACATGTGGTTTGGAACTCATTTCTTTCCAATTCATTTTTGCCCTTAATTTGTTGCCTATATATACCTTCTTGGTTTTTCCCTCAAAACTCACAACACAAACTTATGTACGAAAATATTTGTAATTGAGAGAGTTATGCGGGATTTTTCATTACAAAAAATAAAGGATGAACATTTCCACTTTATACGTGACGACTTTTCAAATAAATGGCTTCAAGCAACTGAGTAATCATTTAATACCATTCTTCTACAATTTATCCAGTCTGAAGGGTTGACGAGCGAGGATGACATAGTCATGACATTTCACATAATTTACCAAAGTTGTTTGATCAAATTGGTCTACATTTGACTTTTAAAGAATGCATTGTCACGTCCATGGTTTTTTTTTTTACCATAATATAAAAATCTCTAAAAGATTACAACCGATTGCCCACTGGCAATACATAGCGCCTTTGCATTTGAAACACCAAGCACAAAGGAAAAAGAAGGCTCCTACAAGGGAATCCACCTGAGCCAAACGCACTAGACATAACAAACTAAACACAAGTGAAGTTCGAAGGGGAAAGGAAGAAAGAAGCAGTGGGTCTCGACTCGGCCACTCCCCAAAAGGAAAACCGAGTGGTGTAGAATATTATTATTATTATTATTATTATTATTATTATTATTATTATTATTATTATTATTATTATTATTATTATTATTATTAGCATTTAACATATTTATATTTAGTGACTTGGTGGAAAAGATAGATTTTAGGGTTTGGGTGTCTTATTTAAAAACATCTATTCTTTGTTATTCGGTGGTGAATTGATAATAGGAATTGATTGAGTTGTGTGAGTTTTACGAGAGAGTATCTCGTTTATCTTTCCCACTCGTACGCTTTCCCTACATCAGTTGGTATAAGAAGTCAGCACGATTCAAGATGTCGCCGCAGAAGGACGACATCGATGGGCGTGACGCCACCATTGAGTATCCGGGTCGACAAGCCACGGGCTTTGGCCGCCAGATCAATCAATTGGATCGTCGGGTTGAGGATCTTCGACGGGGATCGAAGAAGTGCGTCTTACAATCAACAATGTGGTTGAGGATTTGTAGACGAACCGTGACGCCGACAACCGGGATGTTCGCGGGGAAGTTCACGGAGGACGTGGTCCAGGCGGGGCGCCCCGCTGAAGATCTCCACAACCACCGTCCGACGACGAAGACGACGAGGATACCATCTCGGAGGTGAATCCCTTCGGCAAGTGGCAACCTCCACACGTTGAGGCTGACCCCTTCGCTGCATATGGCGGCCGTGACATGTGGCTACGGGGCCTGGTCTTCATGGACGGCGACGATCAACGCAGTGATAGGGGCTGGCGCGAGGAGGCAGCCTTCGCTGGCGGATATCGTGCCCGACATGATTGGGGACTTGATCGCGAATATAGTCAATAGGAGGGCCCGTTTCGCGTTGATATCCCCGAATTCGACGAAGAGCAAGTTGACGGGCCATTGTACGATGGTCCACCGGTGTTTGATGAAGAACCCGAGGAGGTGAAGGAGGGTCATACCGGTGGAGTGGACAGTCTCTACGACGGTCCGTCGATTTTCGATACGGAGCCTTCAGGCCCGGAGGAATTCAATCATGTTTCGGGTATCGAAATTCAGCTGTTGGAAGAATTTGGTGTTCCATTGGTAGTTATTCTATTGCGCAGGCCCGAGATTTTCTCCCATGAGAATTTGTTGCGACCTCGCAAACAATGTTATTTTTTGGGCCCCATGGTCCCCACAACTACTTCAAAATTCTGTGTGTGGCTGCTTTATATATGCCTTTCCATGAATTTCAAAAGTGTAATACCATGGAGTTGCGACATTTATCCTTCGTGTTCGATCGGGGGAAACGACGGGGGTTTCCTACCATGAGTCCGACAGCACACGCCGGCTACGGGAGCGCATCGACTTCGAGGGCGAAGCCTTCCGAACCGGAGGAGAATGGTGTAGATTATTATTATTATTATTATTATTATTATTATTATTATTATTATTATTATTATTATTATTATTATTATTAGCATTTAACATATTTATATTTAGTGACTTGGTGGACAAGATAGATTTTAGGGTTTGGGTGTCTTATTTAAAAACATCTCTTCTTTTATTCGGTGGTGAATTGATAATAAGAATTGATTGAGTTGTGTGAGTTTTACGAGAGAGTATCTCGTTTATATTTTCCACTCGTACGTT